GTCTGTATCGAACAGGCAGAAACAAAGAAGACGTCTTTGTGCGCCCGTCCATCATCCAAGTCTGTGTCTCTCCTCGTGTGTGCAGACAGATTCCCGTCCCTCTTATCTCGCCGCACCCACTCCTCCGTCTCCTCCGGCATAACATCGATATACTGGCCGAAGCCGTTGTCGATGTCTGTAGGAATGAACAAAGACAGAATCATCCATCCAAGTCTATTTCATCTCTCCCTCTCTGCCTCATTTCCCTTCTCTCTGACCGCGCTCGGCCCACTCAGGCAGTGGACCGCCCCTGTCCTGGGCGTCCACCTCCGAGGTCTCCCCCGATGAGACCTCGGGGATGTCGTCCAGGCTCTTCGTCCGCTGCAGCAGACTCGACGAGCGGCCGCCGGGGGGAGCTGCCGTCGAGGCAACCGACGCGCGTCGGTCGCGACGTCCTGCTCATGTGCTTTCTTGAACCCGAATGATAGAGCGCCACCATATTCTTGGGTAGGACCTTGCAGATAATTTTTTCATTTCGTGTGTCCCGTCTCGGGTCGAGAATCGAGCTTGGGGGCGTCTCGGCCGAGTCTTTTCTTTTCTCGCTTCTGCACAAGAGTCTCAAACGCGATGAAGCCCACAACCCACCTGTTCGCAGCAGGCGGGATTGCAGGCAGTCGGGCAATGCCATGTCGGAGCGAATTTTCAGTCTGTCTCGCCTGTCAAGCTGGACCGTCCGGCAACAGAGAAGCAGCTGGTGCTGGACAGCATGCTCCGCTTGTGCTCCGCAGCAATGTCGACGTGAGGTAGGAGCTCCTTGCCGAGACTAGTTCGCTGTACGCCCAATTGGACTAAGTCTTGTGTAACGACTTGGACTTTTCCGGAAGGGCTCCACCGCTGCACACACACAAACAGGCAATTCAGCTCTAAAATGCGACTGTGTGATTGTCTGTCTGTCAGGTCCGTCTTTCGTTCGCCTGCCGTCTGATGGGGTGCTTTGTTTGCGACCAGCCGATGGGAAGGGTGGGTGTTTATAGTCGGCTGGACTAAGGATTCCGACGGAGGAGGTGCTTCTTCATGCTGCCAGCCAGCCACTCATTCTCTCATCCTTAGTCACCCGCGACTAAGGATTTCGACAGAGGGGGTGCTTCTTCTTGCCATCAGCCAGCCAGCCACTCATCCTCTCATCCTTAGTCACCCGCGACTAAGGATCTCGACAGAGGGGGTGCTTCTTCTTGCCCTCAGCCAGCATCACCAGTCTGAGACACCATACTTAGTCACCGGCGACTAGGGATATCGACAGAGGGGGTGCTTCATCTGGATTGGGTGATTCGAAAACTCAAAGCACGACAGCCGAACCACCTAAGTCGCAGGGGACTTGGGTGATTCGGCCTTGCATACATGACAATTTCCGTGGTGTGCACCTGCAGAAGACGTTGGTATTACTTTCATTTGAGCGAAGGAGGGTCCAATGTGCTGGCGAACCGCAGCGGAGTCTCTCAAGCCATCGAAGCTGCAGCGGATGGTCATCGACTCCTGTCTCTTCAACGAGTCCCTCACGCAAACAGCCAAAGGCAATGCATGTAGCAAGGAGTGTGCCGTGCTGTCGGTAGACGGTGCTTTTCTTGCTTTGTGGGGTGATGCAGATGAGCCTTCGTCACTTTCTGGACGTTATGGTTCTGGCGGCCAATGTCAAGTACAAAGCGCCCTCCAAGCCCCCTGCGGCTCTGGTCAGTAAGTGTGTCTCCTGCTGCTACTGTTGCGGATCCCTGCAATTGCAGCGGGGTGTTGTCTGTCTGTCTGTCTGTCTGTCTGTCTGTGTCTCCTCCCTCCCTCACTGAATGTGCTGCAGATCCCCTGAACCGCAACTCACCTCTCATCCGCCAAGTTCGCCCGCTTCCTCCGTGAGACGGGCATTGTGGCCTCACGCCCCTCTCTCCAGAACTGACCAACGACACCACCAACCAAGACAGCAGCAACATCCACTCCGTCCCCTTCGCGTGCTGCCCGCGGCCCTCACCCAGGTGCAGGCCGACCTGCTGTTCGTGCGACACACCAAGGCCGCCACCACACTGCCCAAGACGGGGCTGAGTGCCGTGCCGTCGCAGGGTGACAAGGGCGAGGATGAGAGGAGGGCCGGAGTGGGGGCTGGGATGGTGCGCAGCACAACGCATCACATGGAGCTGCACCAGTGGCTAAAGGTCGATGAGAAAAGGACACATACAATACACTCGCCCAAACCAGAAACGTCCATGTCTCGCTTTTGTGTGTGTTTCCAGGCGTTGAAGGAGTTGTCTCGCGAGGTTCATGCGGCGATAGAGAGCGAGAACCCCTCACCCATGGACCTCCTCACCACTCACTCCCTCAAACCCCTGTACGACGCAACCGTCGCCAAGGACACACCACAGAGACAGCGGAGGTCAAGGCCATCAGCACCGACCCCCTCGTCAAGGAGCTGCTCACATCCATCCGGGCCCGCGTGAAGCAGCTCTTCACCCACTACGCACAGCAGCTGTGTGCCGACTTCGACGTGTCTACTGGAGCGCTGTCTCGGCCGCCAACGAGGAGGACAGGAAGATCGAGGCCAATGAGATGAGCTTCACGGCCTTCCAGCTTGCCGTGGTCACCCTGGCCAGCAAGGCCCCTGTGCCGGAGTTCACCGATAGCGAGAAGAGCCAGTGTGTGAGTGCGGCGCACGAGCACTTCAAGATTGCCCCTCATCTCACCCCCGCTGCATACGCCTCCGAGACATGTATATCCCTACTGTTTTTCCTGTCGCGTCTCAACGCGTCAAGTGCGGCCGCGCGCTTCCTGCCTCCCCCTCTGCCGACAGCCCCATCCGAAACTACCTGGACAGTGTTACGGGAAGGTGCGCACGCCACAACACAAGTCACAATACAACAGGTTGTAGACATGTCTCTCCTTCCGTGTCTAATATGTCTTGCTGTCTGTTCGGCAGTGATCGAGGGCAAGCCCGGCCAGGCAAACGGCACGAGGGAGACATCGAAAACGGACAGGCTATTGTGCCTACACATCATCTGTCTGCTGCGGTGTGGTGTCTGCCGTCATCCTTCAGCTGGTGCTCACAAAGGTCGACCTGCTCAAGGTGAGTAGTGACAACACGTGTCAGTCAACAGCACCTCTCCCTCTGTGTGTGTGTTGTGTGTTGGTTTGGGTGCGTGCAGCCGATGGATCTGCACAGCCTGATGATGCGCGTGGTGGTGGCGCTGCAGCAGCTGCCGCTCGAGTTGGTCTGGCCGTTCGTCCACGCCGTCTCAGCCAGGGAGCACCTCGGTGTGGCCGAGCTGCGCTGCTCACTCAGCGCCATCGCCTCCGACCACCGAAGAGCGGCCGGCCGGCAGCTCGTCAAGAAGGGGGAGACCCCAGCCAGGACACACAGATAGAGGTGGTAGCGGGCTGAATGGACTCATTAGTGACACATTTGGATTGACGTGTGTGCCTTGTGTGTTGAGACGATGTGATAGTGATGGTGACGGACATAGGTAGGCCTTCATTCATTCAACGACACAAGCCACATGGATGAAGTCTGAGACCCTATGTATTGTCATGCCACACGTCACATGGACAATAACCCGCCCTGTTCCTCCCTCCCTCCCTCCCTCCCTTCATCCCTTCATCCCTCCCTCCCTCCCTCCCTTCATCCCTCCCCCCCGCGCCCATCACCATGGGGTCTTGATGAGGTGTGGACATCGGTCCGTTGTGTGGACCAGTGGGCGCACCTTGGCGGTGGGGAGGCGAGGCCGCGGCGGCTTTCTTGCGCCGCACGACGTAGACCCCACCCGCAGCGCCCGCCAGAGCCGCTGCCACCACGTCTTCCGCTCTCCCGGGTAGGTCTTGTAAGTGATGCCCTCGTCCTCCTTGGTGCGGCGGAGGGAGGGGAGCACTCTGGCTGGGCTGGGGCTGCTCTTTGGCGGGGGCTTGGCCGGCTCTGTATACAGCATAGCACACAAGAGCCAATCAACACAGAAATACAGCCATGAATTACCACACGCACCACCAGTGAGTGTCTCTCTCCTTACCCTCGTCATCGTCGATCCCTTGGTCGAGCCACGGCCCGATGCTGCGCATGAGGTCTGTATCGAACAGGTAGAAACAAAGAAGACGGCTTTGTGCGCCCGTCCATCATCCAAGTGTGTGTCTCTCTTCGTGTGTGCAGACAGATTTCCGTCCCTCTCACTTCGCCGCACCCACTCCTCCGTCTCCTCCGGCACAACATCGATCGACAGGCGGCAGCAGCTCTCGATTTCTGTAGCGATGAACAGACAGGGACGGAATCATCCAACTTGATCTATCTCACCTCTCTGTCTCTCCCTCCTTCCCGTTCCCTGACCTCGCTCGCCCAGCTCTGACAGCAGAGCGTCCATGTCACGGAGGTCCACCCCCGAGGTCAGCCCCCCTGGCTCTGCATGCAGCACAGCACACAGAGCCAATCAACACATACATACAGCGATGAATTACCACATGCACCACCAGTGAGTGTCACTCTCCTTCCTTACCTTCCTCCTCGTCGACCCCCTCATCGATCCACGCCCCGATGCTCCTCAGCATGTCTGTATCGAACAGGCAGAAACAAAGAAGACGTCTTTGTGCGCCCGTCCATCATCCAAGTCTGTGTCTCTCCTCGTGTGTGCAGACAGATTTCCGTCCCTCTCACTTCGCCGCACCCACTCCTCCGTCTCCTCCGGCACAACATCGATATACTGGCCGAAGCCGTTGTCGATGTCTGTAGGAATGAACAAAGACAGAATCATCCATCCAAGTCTATTTCATCTCTCCCTCTCTGCCTCATTTCCCTTCTCTCTGACCGCGCTCGGCCCACTCAGGCAGTGGACCGCCCCTGTCCTGGGCGTCCACCTCCGAGGTCTCCCCCGATGAGACCTCGGGGATGTCGTCCAGGCTCTTCGTCCGCTGCAGCAGCAGACTGGACGAGCGGCCGCCGGGGGGAGCTGCCGTCAAGGCAACCGACGCGCGTCGGTCGCTGGCGGCCGTGGCCGCCTTTCCCCCCTCCCCCACCCCCTTCCCTCCCTCCCCCTCCCATTCCCCAGCAGCAACAGCACCAGCAGCAGCAGTGGGCAGCAGTGGGCAGCAGCGCCCGAGGTATCTTGCTCTCGGCCTTTATTCTGACGAAACACACACATGGAGGAGATGACTGGATGGCTGGAGGGATACACTGTCGTGGCGTCGGAGTACGGATGAAGCGGTGACTCACCTCTTTCCCAGTCTCCTCGCCCCCACACGCCCCCACGAGCTCGCAGCAAGACGCGAGTTAAGATGAATGGCTGCCGGTGATCACGTTTGCTTTTTTATTGCAGCCGTCCTGTCCCCCTCGATGCTGTCTTTCACCTCCCTGACAGACCGATACACATCCCTATAGGTCAGCACGAACACAACACCGCTCACACATGCAGCCATCATCGCCTCACGCAAGGCCACACCCCACAGCCCCATGGCGGTGACAGATGCACCACCGTCTGCCGCATCACTGCTGACGAGCAGTGCCGCCCGCATTCCCCCCTCCATCCCCCACGCAATGGCCGCCTCACACACAAGCCTGGCCAGCACTACAATGCCCCACACTTTGACTGTCTTGGGCAACACGAGACCCCTGACAGCCCCACCCATCCCTCGCCACGCCGGCAGCACGCCCCTGTGGCGCATCATGGCCACATAGAAGAGAACCAGCAAGATGCGCATGGCCATGTTGGCCCAGCTGGCGTAAACGAGCCCCAGGCCGCCCTCGCCGACGTCCTTGAGCAGCACGGCCAAAAGAACAAACGACAGGCTGATGGCCACATTCACCCACTGACATCGCTGCAGCCACCGGGGTGTCGCACAGGCGTACATGAAGGCCTCCAGGATGCCGTTCAACGCCATAAGGAACAAGAGCACACAGTAGCTGCAGCAAGGAAGGACACATATCACCCAGCAGAAAGCGACACATGCATCAGAGTGAGTGGGGGGCTTCTGTGTCACTGACTGACCTCTGCATGACTCTCGGTGCGGCGGACATTGCCCATTCTCTGCCGTTGAGAATGAACACCACCGAGTAGCAGAAGGGCGGCCCCATGACCGCCCCAAACCACCCTATCGACCCCTCCATGAAGATCAACACCCTCAACAAAGCCATCGTCTCGTCGCCAGGACCTGCTGGCTTCGCTTCTCCCGAGTCCCCCGAGTCGGCTTGCTGGCTCCGCTGCATGAAGCTGAAGGCCGCCGTGGCCGTCTCCTCTATAGGCGAGAAGAGCACTCGCAGGATGATGCTGGCGAAGTTCTGCACCAGCACAGAGACGCCCCAGTCTTCCTCCGGGAAGAACTTCATCAAAATAAGGTTCTGGCCCTCGGTAAGCAGCAGCTTCTGCAGCGCCAGCAGAGAGTACTCGCACGCAAACCGTTGGTGCGCTGGCGTCAGCCACATCCCAAGAAACCCACGGAACCTCGCAAGAAGCGCACGAAGCCTACGAAGCCGCCCCCTCCCGCCCTCTGTCGGCACCTTGACTGGCTGCTTGAGCCGAGACGGCAAGAGCTTGGTCACCACGCCCATAAGGGTGGTCCCGTCACCCTTCTTCTCCAGTGTGTGCGCGGCCATGAGCAGATAAGCAACCCACACAACGTCCAGACACACCTGCCCCACAGCGAACGCCAGCAGCCCGTGCATGCGGATGACCATCAAGCTGACGACGACCCCCGCCGTCTTGGCGACCAGGCCGATACCCTCTGCCTGTGAGCGCACGCTCAGCTCCCCTCTCTGCTGGCAGTGGATCAACACGGGCTCGCCGATCCCTTTGATGCAGCAGCCGACGGTCACCATGATAATCGACAGCCGATACGCCGCCGCAGACGAAAGACCACCAGATGCGGGGATGGTCGCCACCTTCTGGGGAGGGTTTGCCAGCCACACACAGCCGAGGGCGAAGGCAGTGACTACCGTGATGCCTTCAGCAAGCCACATAAGGTTCAGCGCCGACTGGTCGTCATCATCGTGGTCGTCTTTGGTGCCATCTTTCGCCTCTGTCCTCCGCTGTGCGGCCCGTCTGAGACCTTCCTTGGGCAGGAAGAGGGCCACCTGGTTGAGCATGGGCAGGCTCAGCTGGCCGATGCCGTAGGTCGGCGCGTCGACACATCGTGTTGTGGCGGCGTTGAAGATGAAGGTGACGATACGCGTGAGCAGCTGGACGCCGACTTGAGATCGGATGGCGTACATGGACCGGTCAAACATGATGGTGCAGGGGACTGCGAGAGGGACAATCTGCGCCAACAAACAAAACAAAGGCAGATACAGTCCGTTCTGCAGTGTGCACTGCCTGCCTCAAGCCTGCCTCCTCACCTTCGTACTCAGACAGTGTAGCACATCTTATGTACTTACTGTACAGTCCCCTTCCATACACGCCCCTCCGCAGCTAAGCTCGCGACCGCCGCTCGCGCTTTTTCATCCCGGAAAGAACGGCAGCATGGAAGACGAAGAGACTGCCACTATGTCAGCAGCGGCCACTAGCGCACAGCCGCTCACTGATTTCCCAGACGAGTGAGCATGTGACACAAACATGACATTGTGGCCTCATCTTCATGGTTGTGTGTGTCATGCAGGCTGTGGTGTCGCCTCTTTGCGTTTCTGGCGCTTGTCGACTTGCCGGCTTTCATCCGTTCATGCCGAGCATGCCGCCAGCGGCTTCGCGATTTGCCTGTTGTCTATCGCTTCTACCTCCAGAACGACAGCAATCAGTATCGGCCGCACTCGGCGGGCCTCAAGCACTTCCTGCGGGGTCAGCGACTGGCCCTGCCGCCAGCGACACCGGCACCCGCAGCAGCAGCAGCGTCAAGTGCTGCTTCTGGTGGTTGTGGTAGTGATAGCAGCGATGGCATCAGCTGGCGTGAGGTGTGCAAGGGCATGGTGGCGTTTGCCAGGCATGGCTATTCCGCCAAGGGGATCAATCTGGTCCATGAAGGTAAGACGAGCCAAACCAGAATGGATGGATGGATGGACATGATGGCATGTCGCCTTGATTCCAGCGTGTGGAGCGTCGTCGACTGATCATGAGAGTCAGGCCCCTAGGGAGACCGTCCTGCCGTAAGATGAGCAGCACCGACAAGACACACGCACGCGACGATAATCATGTGTGTGCTACGAGTGAGATGTGCACACGTGATGCCATTCTTGTGTGTTGTGCAGGAACCGGTCCTTCTGGAGCAGTGTGGGCAGCAAGACGGCCGACAGCCACGACCACATCACATACAAGTAAGAAAAGGAATGAGTGGGCGACAAACACATTGAAGGGACAGCGCATCGCCTCCATCATGGTTGGTCGTTGCTGTGTGGGTGTGGTGTGTTGTCTGTCCCTCAGGTTGATCGACGCGTGCTGTGTAGTGACCCGCATTCGCATCTATGTCTACCAGGCGCTCTTTCAAAAGGGCCGTCCCACATACGGCCCCCGACGTGTCCGCGTGTCCGTCGGCACCGCCCCTGATCGCTTCCACTACACCAGCGACCCCATCACACTCGATAACACACCAGGCAAGGGACGACCAACGATGACGAACGACAACCACGCGATGACACGACACACGCGTTTTTCCTCTCTCTCCTTCAGCGTTGCAGAAGATCACCCTCTCTCCGGCTGTGGTCTTGGGCGGCTATGTCCGTCTCACACTGGAGGGCAAGCAGACCACCCAGCCCGGCGACGAGCTGTGGTACGTCTGCCTGCGACACGTGGCCGTCGTCGGCCTCCCAGTCGCCCTGCTCCCCAACAAAGCACTCAGACACACGCTCCGCCACGTATACGAGCAAGACATGATCCAGCAGCAGCGACAGCAGCAGCAGCAGGCGTCTTCGCAGGACATCGGCAGCCGGCCCCCGGCGTCGCTCAGCTCCAAGCAGTGGCACTCACTCGAGGAGGAGGCGGAGGCCGAGCTGGAGCAATACATCGAGAGCAAGGGCATCGACCAGGCCACCAGCGGTGTCCGTGATGCGCTGCGACTGAGATACCAGCAGTTTAGAGAGCACTTTGATGGCGAGCAGGAAGGTGCGGGAGATGGGAACGGGGTCGGGGGACCGACCGCGTCGAGTGAGAAGGGTGATGCGTCCTCTCCCCGTGGGGGCAAGAGGTCGGGGAGGGTGTGGCAGGGCAACTACCTCAACCGCATGCCGCTCACCTGGCTGCGTGCCAACCGGCTGGGTACCGGGACGCTGGCGTGGCGCGACGTCTTCGGGAGAGCCTTCATCGAGGAGCTCAAGTGGGTCAACACCTACAGCAGGCACACCATCCATCATGCAGCCAGCCATGCCGTCTTGTCTTATGCTTCTCTCGTCCAGGTACCGCTTCCTTTGTCGAGCGGCGGCTCGCTACTTCGAGGAAGGCCTCGGGCGTCTCCACAAGCTCATCGAGGACGACGGCCCCCTCCCGTCCCTCGCACCCGAGGCCCCCTCCTCTCCCCCATCCTCATCAGACGAAGAGGACAAAGACGGCTCGAGGTGGATGCCCTTCTCCAGATATCGCAAGAAGGTATTCGGGCGGCCGCCTGAGCCCTCTGAGGAATGCCCGATAGTGGTTCCGAGCAGCGGGGCTGCAGCTGCGGCATCCGCATCCGCATCTGCAGCAACAGCGGCCATTGGGTCGTCCGGCTCATTTCCTGATGTGATGGATGTGGAGGTGGTGGAGCAGGGAGAGGGGCGGGACAGGGGGCAGATCGTGAGGGAATACATCGACATGTAAGTGTGTGTGTGTGTGTGCATGTATGAGCGCCGGCACGGGATGAATTGCATTGTGGTTGGTTGGTCGGTTGGTGTGTTGCGCGATGCAGGTTTCTGGACCTGACGAGCATGATCGGCGCGTACCCCGTTCACGAAGACAGCGGTCGACAGCCGCTTCCCACGCGGACCGTCAAGGCATACAGGAAACTCACAAAGTAGGCATGGGGTGCACCGGTCGAGTCGTCCATCAGCGCTCCGTATGTGCTTGTCGTTCGCCAGGCTTTTCTGGCAGCTGGAGGAGGCCCATCCAATGGAGAGCTCCTACGTCCTCGGTGTCAGGCAGCCCCTCCCCCGCTCCCCCTTTGCCCCGCCACCCGCCCCTACAGACACCCAGAACGCCTCTCCCAGCAGCCCATCGCCGCCCACACAGCCCTCAACACGCCGCAAGCCCCTGACAAGGAAAAGATCACCCACTGCCTCTCGGCCAGGTTCCCGGCGACCAGAGGAGGGTGTCAATGGAGAGGCATCATCGTCTGCTCCGAGCACCAGCGCGTCCGCCCCGGCTGCAGCAGTGAGTGGACAGCCGATGGATTCTGAGGGCGGTGGCGAGGACATTGGCGCCATTGACGCCAACACGAGCGGCGTGCACCCTGACGTGGCCTTGTACGTGATGCGGTGCCTGTGTGCGCTGGAGCTGCACCAGCCGGGAGAGGCGTTTCACCATCCCCCATGGCTCCCGCCAAAGAAACGGGTGAGAGGGCATGAACTGGAAGGGATGGTTTTCTTGTTGGGTCATCTCTTCACACGCTGCCGTGTGTGTGATCTGATGTTGTGGTGCAGATCGACAAGTACTGGCCATTGCTGCAGCCCGAGAGAAGACAGCCCCGCCCCCCGTCCTCACGTGAGCGCCCCGTTTCCGTCTTCTTGGAGGCATCGACACGCCGAATGAGACGCCTCTGGGCGGCCGGTGCCCTCGGTCTCGAGGTTGACGACACAGATCAAGACAGCGAGCCCAGCAAGCCCAGCAGTCCTCCAAGGCGTCGAGAAGGCGACGACATGGACATATCGAACGACGCAGGCGAGGACGAAGGGGAGGACGACCCTGACGATGGCTTCGACGAGCCTGAGGATGCGGCTGGCGGCCGCCTCCGCCCGCATGAGTCCATTCTGCTCGTGCGGTTCTTCCAAGGCCTCATGGAGACCAAAGCACGGCTCTATCGCATGGAAGAGGAGGCCATCAATGCAGGCTTGCGCCGAGGCCCTCCCGGTGTCCCTTCCTTGATCAGGAGGGGCAGGGGTGGTCTGCGTCGGCTGCCCGTGTTTGGGCGGCATCTTGACTTGTTTGATATGAACCACCCCAATGCCAATGATATCGTCCGTATGCTGGGGACGTACCGGTCAGCAAGAGAGAGAGAACTAGGAAGTGTGCGTGGATGCGTGTGGCTGCTTTCATGGAAGAAGGGATGGATGGATGGATTTGCGCAGGCGGCTGCCGTCGCCAGGTGTTGAGCTGGCGGACGAGCTGATGCGGCTGGGTGTGGGTGGGGGCCGTGCGCGCGAGCTGTATGGTGAGGGGCATTCGATGGACAGACTGGTCGAGTGCGCCATTCTGAGTGAGAACCTGCTGCCAGAGGTGGGGCTACTCATCAACAACTACGACAGGTGAGGAAAAGGCCAACACACACACACACACACACACATAATACATTCGTGTTTCCCCTGTGCATGTGTTCCTGCAGGGCCGATTTGCGTCACATGTTTTCGGCCACGAGGCAGATCGAGAACGCCCAGCTGCAGAGGGGCATGGAGGCGTCGCCAGCTGACTTCGACGTCCCGCCCGGGCTGGGCCTCCCCGACAACCACCCATTCCGCCTTCGATGGCGGTATGTGAACCGCTTGGCCATCGCCTTCGTCTCACAGCTCGGCATTATGCAGATGGCAGACATGCGGTGAGCCAAGACACACGGTGGGCAGAGGGGAAGAGAACGAACGGTGTATGTGTTCGTGTGGCTGTGTGGTGTGTGCAGGGAGATCATGGACACGCCGGTTGGCACTGTGCTGCCGTCTTCGCGCAACAGGCCGCTGTTCACTTTCGCCTGGCCCAAGTGGAGTCTGGACGACTTTTGATTGATTGCACGATCGATGACGTGGCAGATGGAGCAGACGAGCTAGAGAGAGAGGCGTGAGGCGTGTTTTTGGTGAAGGGCTGCCTGACGTGTCCCTTGCTGGATGTGCATGCTGCTGCAGTAGTCGGTGGATGGATGGATGGACCACTTCTTTTTTTCTAATATCAACACTCACGATGTCCTTAGGTCGCACGCCTATGCACCCACCCCACCACCCATCGACAAATCGCCACATCTGTCTGTCCAACTGTCCATCCGTCGCAGCCGTCCATCCATCTAGCCATGCCTTCGTTGTCTACCTAATCCATCGCCACATGTCCATCAGTCAACGTATGGCGGCCGCAATCTAATCGTAGGGGGCCGGGCCTTGCTGCCGGCCGCCGTCCTCGAGATATCCACGGCCAAAATCGCAATCTGCCCATGCACACACCACACCGATGACATTGGCCATCGTGTTGTGCGGTGGATCCATGGATGCCTTTGCGTCACGTACCACTAGCACGAACGACAGCCAGAGGGGGGCGAAGATAATCAGCCAGGAGAGTGCCACCCACCCATTCAACCTGCACATCCACACAAGTGAGTCATTCTCTGCCTCCGGTGCCTCTGTGTCTCTGCGGGGTGCTGGGAGTGGATGTGGCCCTTACTTGCCGATGAAGATTACGAGTGCGGCGAGTATTGCGATGCGTGCCACGATGTCCATGCCCCTGCCGGGGTCCTTGGGCTGCAACGGCACCAGCGACGTCGCTACGATCAAGTACGCCACCAGCAGTGGCGCGAGGATCCACCCCCAATGCGTGCCGGCCAACACATCAACTCCGTCCTGAAACACACACCCAGAAGCACAGAGAGAGAAGAATGACGTGGGGCTTCATGTGGTGGATGGGTGGCTCTCGCCCACCATTTTTATGCCTATGAGAAGGACGCTGAGCGATGAGAGTGAGAGGCACACAAACATCTGCCAGAATATGTCCACCATCCGCTTCTCTATGAACTTGGCTAGACGCAGGCTGGCCGTCATGTATCCCGCCGTGAGCAGCGCCCACATGGGCGACAGCACGAACGACCAGCCCCAGTCGACCGCCCCGGTGTTTCTGAGGCCTATGAAGGCGAAGAACGCCAGCAGACACAGGGCGGTAACCAGCAGGCCGCCCGACTGATAGACGTAGAGTATCATCTCCTCGTGTGTGCCCATGGCGGACTGGTACAGCCACATCTCCGCCACCAGACAGAGAATGGGCACCACCGACAAGAAGGCCGGCACGTAGTCGGTCCATGAGGATGGCTTGCCGCCCTCCAGACGCAAGGCCACAAGGGCGGAGAACGCGAAGAGGCACACTACGATCGCCAACACATACGCTGCACACAGAGAACACGTCGACCATACACCATACAGACAAGCGCATTGCCAGGAGAATGTGCCTCTGTTCCATGCATACCTTTGGTCATGTCGAATCCAGACCGCACCTTGAGCCAAGGCGGGGTGGGCGGGTGCGCCCCGAGCCCTGGTGGCGGGCCGGGCGGCCCTTGGTAGCCGTACGTGCGGTAAGGGAAGTCAACGCCGACAGGTGCTCGCTCGACAGGCGCCGATGTGCCGCGAACCAGCGGGCGATGCACATACTGCGGATACTGAAAGTGCACAGGGAAAGAACCACACACCCACTCACTCGCTTCTTGACTTCTTGTGTGCCAGATCTGTGTGTGTACCGGCGAAACGGGTGAGCCGGGCGACAGATCCGCCAGCCGTGGGTAGCCCGATTCGCCGATGGGTGCGTGGGAGCCTTCGTGGTGGTGGGGATAGGCGGGATATCTGCCTGATGGCGGCCCTTGCCGCGGCAGGAAGGACGCATCTAGTTGTCCGCGGGCGGATGTCTGGATGGACGCTGCGGGGCCGCCATAGAAGGGATACTGTTGGGAACCAGATGCCTGCAGAGGCAACCCGGCATCTTGGCCTCTGAAACTATGCATCGCATATGTCACCGCCTCACATTTACAATTGGTGGTGGGGGCTGAGACTGCGTCTCAAAGTTACGAAAAGGATGTTTGGGGTGAGCAACGCCAATGCGCGAGACCCTCGGGGTCTTTATGCCCGGTTGGGTGTGCCGCCAACCGCCACTCACCACGAGATCAAGACGGCGTTCCGTCGCCACGCCCTGGTGAGTGTGAAGTCACTTTGGGGAAGGAGTGGAGGAGAGGCGGGCAGACAGGGGGGCAGCGTAGGCACAGGAGACGCCAGGCAGAGAGTGCCGGACCGATCTGCACTGACACAGCCCAGACAACCTCACCAGCACTACACCGCACTTGCCCGTTGTCTTGGTCTTTTGCTGTGTGTGTGCAGACGAGCCACCCTGACAAGGGCGGGGACAAAGAGGCCTTCCAGGCCATCCACGAGGCCCACGAGGTCCTCACCGACCCTTCGCAAAGGGCAGCCTATGACAACAGGGTGAGCAAGACAGAGGAAGGTCATGCGATTCCCACACGAGCTGAAGGAAGTGTGTCTTGCTTGCTCTTTCCAGCGGTGCGGCCCCTACTACGGGTACGACACGTTTCAGGAGTTTCTGAATTCGCCAGCGGGGGTGAGCCTCGTCTTATGTCATGAGCTGGGTCAGCAGAGAGTGGTCATGTCTCTCTCCATGTGTGGCTTACAGCTGGCCAACCGGCGTGAGTTTGAGGCCTATCACGCCAAAAACATCGCGGACTTCAAGGCCTTCTATTTCCAGGTACGCACCTCAAACTGAGAACATCCAATTCATCCGTCCATCTCACACATCCATCGCCCGGTTCTGTCTGCGATATGGATGTCTCTGCGCATTTTGGATGCTGCAGAAGATGGGCTGGGCAACAACACAGGCCACCAGCGCTCCATCCGCCCCGACACCCACTGCTCCGCGGCCACCCCCACACGGCCGGTGGAGGGACGACGACGAGGACATTGGCGACCGCGGCCATGTGGTTCGCCAATGCCCATTTCGGTGCTGAGGGGAGGGGGGAGGGGAGGGGAGAAACGGGCGTCTTGATAAGAGGTTCAGGGAGTTGAAGCGACATTCGTTTATCAGAGAGCGGTTGACACACATTCCCACCGAAAGATGTCATTGCTTTCCGGCAACTTTCTGGGACAAAACGGAACACGCAATGCAACCAGAAATCGTACAGACGGATATAAAATGTAGGCGGCGATGATGGCCGGCGGTTGTGTGGCGGCCCCACCACCTCTAGTCTTCCCCCATCAGCAACGGCATCTGTCCGATTTCATATCTGTCGCTCGCCCCAGGCCACGACACAATACAGCTCACCTCAATTCAGCTGCTGATCGACCAACAAACGTCAATTCAGCTGCTCGGGCATCACTTGGAAAAACGTCCGGCGGAGAAGCTGCATTCACACACGCAGGGAGGAAGGGACGCATACACACCTGCAACGTATAGCCATTCGTTTGCCCACATACCTCTTCAGGCGACGGTCTCTGGCAGGGCACTGGATGCAGCATATCTTTCATGATGTTGAGCAGGTCGACGTCCACCGGCACCTGCATGTTGGTGCTGTAGTGGTGGGCGACGTGGTCGATGAACTTGGCCGACTTCTGCACGTCCGAGAACACCTCGATGAAGGCCTGAGAGGGAGAGAAGGGAGAGAGGGATGCTTTGCGTGGGTATCCAGCTCTCGGTGTGAATGCGTGTATGTGCTGACCCGCTCGCCGAGCATCTCATAGGGTGTCTGGCCGAACTTCAAACCAAACGTTATGGCCCCTGCACCGAGCGAGAGGGCACCCACGTGTGTTTGTCTGCGGCTGTCGTGTGGTGTTGTGTTGTCCATTCACCGCTCACCAGCAGCAAAGACGTCCGCATCGGCCTCATATGAGTTGCCGGTGAGCACCTCGGGTGGCATGAAGCATACTTCTCCATGGCGACCTTGCACAACACCACACACAAAACCACACGACACGACACATCCACCATCCGCCATCCACATGGCTGGCTTCTATCTCTCTGCCGACTTGAAGCGCCCTAGCACGGCGTAGTGGAGGCCCTAGCACCGTCAGGCAGGGGTGCCTTGAACATGAGGATGCGGGCTGGGCAGACCCCATGCGTGTGAAGCCACTGAACAAGACAAAGAACAGAGAAACCCATAGACGAATAAACGCGTGTGGCTCTCGGCCGTGTACTGTCTGCAGCTGTCGTGTCGTGTTCATTAACCGCTCACCTCCGGAGAAGACGTCGACGCCCTGCCCGTACGGCTTTCCCGTCAGCACCTCAGGCGGGAGCCCTGCGGTCTCTCCAAACCGTCCCCTGCACACACGACACAACACAGCACACCAACACGACACATCCTCCACACCACCCGCCATCCACGGTGCTAATGCATATCTGAACCCACTCAGGCTCGGCTTGTAGAAGTCACCGTGGAGTAGGGATGCCCTGAACATGAGCACCCTACGCGGGCAGATGCCCATGTGCACGCTGCCGCTGATCAACACAGAAAGAGAAGCGAGAAGCGACAATCGGTGGCAATGTGTGAGTTGCGTGCGCCTCTGAGCTTACCTATCAGTGGTGTTGCGATTAATGAGTGCGATGCTCTGTGTGCGCCCTCCTCCTGCTGCCGCTGCTGCTGCTGCTAGCGGTACTGGTGCTGGTGATGGTGAGGCTGGGGGACGGGCGGCACGGTCGCTGGTGTCGGGAGGTGGTATGAGGGCCTTGCGGTCCACGGGTCCGGATGGATTCAATCCACCGCCCCTGACACACAACACACAGCACACAACACACAGCAAACAGACAGCTCCATGAACGTGCACAAGGGAATGATGGCTGTCTCTCTGCTTACGGCATAGCGCTGCTGCGGTCGTTGCGTGGTCTCGTCTGTGTGCTGCCCCCTCCTCCTGCTGCTGCCGTGGTGGTGGTGGTGATGGTGGTGGTGCCGCTACCGGTGCTGGTGGTGCCCTCTGCTCGGTGAGGTCGAGCGATGCGAGGCGGCCAGCCGGGGCGGCGAGGGTCGGGGTCGGGCAGGCGGCAGACCGTCCAGACCTGGGAGCCCACCGGAGGCCCCTGGTCCTTGAACGGCTCCCAATGCAGCTGGAAGAAGCGCATCGCCTTGAGCTGCATTGACAGACAGGGGACAAGCGAGATGCATCGACTTGCATGGGGTCGTTTGTCGCACCTCAGACACGGATGGCCTGCTCGAGGGCTCAGGGTCCATTGCTGAGATGAGCACGTGGCGGAACTCCTGGCTGAGCTGGATCTCGTGGGAGTGTGCGACGGTGTCGATGAAATTGACGATCTTCTCTCGGTTGGAGAACACATCGAGATAGACCTGAGCCAACAGACATCACACACACAGGCCACCACACTCGCCACGAGGCGGGGAAGCACGGTGGCCTGAAATGGATCTAAAACTTAGTTGAAGTTAAAGATATCCGTCTCCGTCTCCGATTTCGTTTTTCTCGCCGGGCTCAACCCGCTTGAGGAGGCATGAACACTCCGCGACGGGCTTATAATTTCGTGTGCAGGCCTCGCATCACCAAACATAAGCGCACCACACCACATGATCCACACTATAGCTACTACACACATGAACTGATCTGTTGAGGAGGACTCCGTTGGGAAAGAGAGACGGCCATCAGGCACGACAAGGCAGGACCATGGCCGCATCATCACTGCATGTTGCTTGACCATCCCAGGGAATCGCCTACCCAAAAAGCTGGCGCTTGTCGACAAGAAGCTGGACATGTGTCTCATTGCAAGACACACACAGAGCTTCAGTCCATACATGGATGGCACCACCAGACCGCCCTCTGTCCACTGGCGTCCATCCATCCATCCATCCATCCATCCATCCGCCCACATGACAAGGCACCCGCCCCATCACAGCTGTACAATGGGCACCACACAAGGAAAACCGACACCATCCAACCTGGCTCACTCACTGCCCACTTCTGTGTGAGGCGGATGTGCTTCTATTGACTCCATGCTCCTGGCGATTCGACAGTCGTAGCATTAAGAAGATATCCATGGTCAGCTGTGAACGGCCGCATGGCGGTTTGTTGAGTGCATTCTTCGTCTGTCCACATCCCATTCACAGGAGAGTCCATTCCCATCGATCTGGTCTCACCCACCGCCACTCCCACTCCCAGCAAACATATACACACACAACCAGTGTGTCCCCCC